AAAATATAGGGATTTTATTATGAAGAAAGAAGGGGACCATACGTAGTCAGCTAGTGCCATAGGGTCATTCTGAATACAGAAAGGAGGAACATATAGCTTCCTGCTATGTTTCAGGGTAATAATGATTCAGTGTGGCACACTGGGTACTTTATTCCCTGATTAACCACATGAACTGGGTAAATGCAAAAACTAAAAATATTGTATTTTTAGAGTCCTGTCCTTTTCTGAGACTCAAATTCCAACTTATAGTCAGTCTAAATAATCACTGTCATCACTATATGTGTGTTAAACAAATTTCATATACTTCAATGTGGTGTTTCCCAACCACATCACACATATTCACTTATGAAGTTAGTCAGTCAATTAACAAATATTAATTTAATCTCTGTGATATGCTCTGCAATTTGAAAGCTACTGGTGAAGATGAAAAAGAGACAAGACATAAGTGCATTGAATTCAGGGCCCATCAAATGGGATATATACGATCAAATAATATTCTAATACATATCAAAAGACTTAAAAGTTTTGCAAACTATTGGACATATTAATTCTACTTAGAAAAATATAACCTGAGAAAATTATCATGAATGCAGGCAAAGATTTAACTATATGCATGGTCATTAAAGTACTGATTTTAAAAACAGAAAACTAAGAAAACAAATTGAAAAGTAGAGGATAGTTCAAGAAGCTATGGTGCTCCCATGCAACTAAATACAATGTCACTTAGATCACTGAGAAAGAATACTTATGACATAATACACGTTCATGATTTACTGTTAAATGGAAAACACGCATCTCTTTGGAAAAGATGTACTTTTTGCATTTTTAGTACTATCTACAAGCCATCTCCCTCTTCTCTGAGAACTGTTCTTCAGATCATAAAGATCCCAGCCCACCTCTTTACTACTGGATTATGCCTGCTGATTGCACTACCTGATCCAAGCTGGACAATCAAATTTTACCTCTTAATAATTTGAAGTTGAGCTTTGCAAATGCCAATCTGTTTCTTCTGGTGGCTTGAATACAGCATAAACAACTCAGAGGCTGGTGTATGGTTGTGTATATTTAGCCATTTACTTGGAAAAGCAAAGAAACATGTCTTCAGAGAGGAAAGAATGAAGCACACCTACAGACAGAGGAACTGAGGCCAGAAACCATGTGTCCCCAGAAGGTTCTGAAGACCAGTTTCAGGTTCTAATCCTGACTTTGAAGTCCATTTGACACCCCTGTTTCCTTTTAATAATTCTGTCTTCGTTTTCTAAACTGGGCTGACAGGCTTACTCTTACTTGCAACCGAAGTTAGATTGCGTATTTGAAAGCAAAAGAGCTATTTCTAAGAAAATTAGCAATAACATCATAATGAGATATTTGGGCATTTGTGATGGTAGATAGGCAAATCAATGTTAAAAATGTTTCCTTATACTCTTAACTTGATGAAACTCTCATTGCACAAAGTTTTTGGAAAATATTTTGGGGAATATTTTGAATGAAATATTTTGAATGAAAAACATACCTGGTCTATGTAGATATTTTCCTGTTGATAGAGCTTAAAAATCCCACTGAAATACTATGGGGAACCATTTCCTCCTAGATTTCTTTCATCGTAAGAGGACTTTTTGGAACTCAAGTTTGAGTCTGCTGCCAAACAGAACATTGAGAAAATTATTTTGGATAATTTTTATGGTAAAATATCTTCCTGTTAATCATCTCAAAAGAAGTGATCAGGCATTTTTTATCCCATTTCATCTACATTTATTTGCAAAGCTGTTTTATCTGCACTTTTAGCTGTGAAGACAAATCACTTAAAAGGATTTATATTATGCTCAGTCTCCCACATTAACCAGAAGATTTTGTAGCAATCAAGCAGCTTCAAATGTTCTTGTTGATATTGTTTTCAAAGTGAAAAAAATCTTGCTTTCTTTTACTCAGATTGTATCTTGAAACTTTAAAATATATTTTAAAAAGAGGGTTTGAGGTATATATCTTTATCAGAAGAGGCCTACATTTTTAACAACTGGAAAGACTACTGTAATAATATAGTAAGTATCCTTAGATGGGTTTTAGTATTCTGGATGTTGACTCTGCCTAGGGCAGAACAAAGACATTAGAAATATGATCCACACACTTCAGACAGCTTCCTAGTTGCATGGAAATGGAACCAAACAAGCAGATCTTGCATGACCTCAGCTCTACTCCTAGAATCACCCTCTGCCCACTTCATACATTCCTGGCATGTCTTTCATTCTCTTGTGGCAGAGAGCAAGTCGAGTTGCCAGCTTACTGTTGATGAAGAGTAATTTTTAGAAGCAGAAAGTCAGTGTCTTGGTTCTGAATGACTCATCTTGAACTCTGGGGCATGTTAAACAGTAACTATTGGTGCTTAATCTGTTGGATCTTACTCAACCCATAATTTGAGAGTCCAAGATGGATATATCACTTTTTTCTTTTCAGTGTTTTTCAAGTACAAAATAGATGGATTATAGTTTCCTTCTAATGGACTCACAAGTATGTGGTGCAGTCATTTGGCATAAAACTGTAAAAACAAAATGAGTTTAATTAAGTAAAATGAGAGATGAACTTTCAACTTTCCACATCAGCTATTTATTAAAATATCAAATTGGTTTTAACCTCTAAAACCTGAAAGTTCTAGAACATGAGAAAGAGGTCTCAGAAATGTGGGGTGCCCATTTTTCAGCCACTTTCTCCTTTTGTTCAGCAGACTCTAAGGGGTATACTCCATAGGCAGTTTTCAGAGCCATCCTTAGAGAAGATTTTTATCGAGTTAGGTGACCTTGGACAAGCCTGAAATTTCCTCATCTATAAACTGGGAATAGTAATAACTACCTCACAGAATTGTTGAGAGCAGTAGAATGTAAGTGAAGCTACCAACCTTATTATTGTATATCAGTAGATATATGCTATTATTATACTAGGCCTCCAGGAGATGGTAGCTACATACTATTGTTTATTTATTGCAAAGATATTTTCACTTGTTTCAATGTTCAAAAGATACAAAGAGTTATATGTTGTATCTTTTGAAATCTTTCAATTTCTGTTTCCCAGCCATATAATTCCCCTCTTTGGGGTCAACTTATGTATCATTTTCTTGTGTATCTTGCTAGTATTTTGCACATATAAAAGCAAAAATGTATGTTTATTTTCCACCTTTTTAAAAAGGTGAATAAAATCATACTAGTCCATTAAAAAAAAAATTTGTCTGCGCCGGGTCTTAGTTACGGCACGGGGGCGGGGGGGTGTCTTAGTTCCCTGAACAGGGCTCAAACCCAGGCGGCCCTACATTGGGAGTGAGGAGTCTTAACCACTGGACCACCAGGGAAGTCCCCATTTTTTTTTTAGTCACTTAAAAATGTATCTTAGAAGTTGTTCATATAAGTTAAACTTGTTTTTAAACACTTGTGGCATAGGTAGGTGTGTGTGTGTGTGTGTGTGTGTGTGTGTGTTGGGGAGAGAGAATACTCAGCTATTATTCAGGTCTGTTCTAATTACCAATCCTAATCTTTAACTACCAAATATTCACTCATTTATTCAACAGATATTTATTGAAAGTCTACCATGAGTCAGGCTCGGCCCTGGCAATAAACCAAAGAACAAAACAAAACACAGTCACTTCTTTCACATTCTAGTGAATACGAGGCTAGACATCCCATTTTGCCCCCATCCCCTTCCGAGCCCACACTGGCCCTCGGTGGGTGACTGTCAGACTTAGACTCCGGTCGTTCAGGATCCCTCTGGTACGGGGTGGGGTCCTTGAGGCGGGGGCAGGCAGAGCCGGGAATGACCCGAACCCTCCGGGGCACCCACAGCTCAACGCCCTTCCAGTCGGGGGATGAAGGGTCGGCCCCGGACGGGTGAGGAACCACGGCGGGAGGGCGGGGAGTCCTCTGGCGTCTTTGGGGGCATCCGTCCCGGGTGTAAGAATGGACACACGCCTGTGTTCGTGTCCCCTCCGAGCCGCGAGCAGCACACGGGGACCTCAGAGACGACTTCCTTAACTACCCCACTTTACACAGATGGGAAACCGAGGCCCGGGGAGGCGAAGGTTGGGACTGATGTCCACCTCAGCCTTGGGGCGAGTAGGGGGGGTGCGGAGAGGGTCAACTCACAGCGAGTCCAATAGCTGGGCAGATGGGAACCATTAAGAAACAACGCACCTTTTGGTGTCTACTAGAAACTGCAGTAAGAAGGCCTCGGTCCCCCTAGAGCTGGTGGCGGGAGCCACGGACGGGGGCGAGCAGCCCGGGCCCCAGCCCTTTAAATTCCCAGCCGCGCGGGAACTACAGCCCAACAGCCACAGGCGGGGGGGGGCGGCAGAAGCGGGGCCCCCGCCCCCCCC